AGTGCCTCAGGCTGGTGGCAGGCTGGCGCCCCCCCCCCCCCCCCCCCCCGCTGTCCCACACAGGAGGTGTTCTACCCCAGCTGCCGGGGGCCCCACTGCACACTGATGAGCAACATCACCCAATTCTCTCCCAAGTTTCCTGGACGGGTGGGGACCCAACTCCCCCCCAAACTCAGCCTCATGCTCTCAGCACGTGCCGTGCGCTAGGAAAGACACCCTTCAAAAATCATGCTCTGCCAGACACTGGTGGCTCAGCCCGCCTGCGGGCCCAACCGCTCCGGAGGCTGAGTTCCTCGGATCAGGAATCCAAGCTGGCCCTCCGCCAGACTATCTCCAATTATGCACCAAAAAAAGCCAGAAGGAACTCCAGGAAATAGAAACAAGAGTTTTTTTTTCTTTGTTGCTGTTTTCTTTTGGGAGGGTAAGTAAGGAGAGGCACAGAAATGGAGGAACAAAGGTAAAAATGCAGCAGTGGTACTCACTAGATACTGGGCTGCGAAAGGAAACCAACCTCACCCCCAGGCACAGGAGGGCCCAGCCTGCCAAGCCCCAGAGACCTTGTGGCCTTGAAAGGCAAAGCAGCCCGGCCAGCTATTCCCACAAAGGTAGAGAGGCCTCCAGGCCAGGGTGGGGCAGGGAGGACGGGAACAGGAGGGCCGCTGTGCCGCCTCCCCTGCTCTCAGGCCCCCCTGGCTCTGTCCCCAGATCCCCAGAGGACGGAGGCGAGACAGCCACAGGTGGGTGCTTAATGCCTGCAATCTGAGATCTGAGGATCGCGGTTCAAAGCCAGCCTGGGCAGACAAGTCCCTCACACCCTTATTTCCTATGAACCATCAAAAAGGCTGGAGTTGTGTCAGTGGTAGAGCACAAGCTTTGAGCAGAAGCAGCTGAGGGACAGCCCTGAGGCTCCCTATGTCCCCCCAAACAAACCACTTCCCTACAGCCTAGGAAATAAAGATGGCTCTGGACACATACTGACTGGCAAGGGCATTGCCAGCCTGTCTGGGGCCAAGCTCGCTGGGGTGGCAGCCTGCTCCATCCTTAATTGGTCTTCAGAGCCCCTGCGCCTCCCCTCCCCCTCACTGGTCCCTGGTCCTGGCGGATGCCCCGCGACCCTTACTCCTGCGTGGGTGGGCGGGGCTGAATGCTATCAGACAGTGTAGGAGGAATGTGCCGCGAGCAGAGAACACATATCTACACTCATGTTTTCTCCACCACCAGACAAGCAAGACTTGTTTTATTTCAGTAATAATTAAGGGATATACTAATAAGTCTATGTCAAAATAATACTGAGTTATTTCACACACTAATACAGTAATCATACAACTTACCAGGGACAGAACAGTCACATCAATGCACTGAAAACAAGCCTGTATTACACGTGAAAATCAACAGCAAATTATCTCTCCCGTTATTAAGGTAATAATATCCAACCAGTTAAAACACTGCGAAGCTTTGTGCAAATCAACCAGCATGTATACAATAACCTGATGCTCAAAACCCATTTACAAATCAACTGACACAATGAGAAAAAAAGCTGGTTACAGCAAATACACAGGCATTTTAGAAAAATAAAGCACTGAACTGAACTCAGGAAGCTTAGGAGAATAACTAGGTCACAGGAGTGACTTCCAACTGTTCCACAGGGACATGACAGCAAAGCTGACTGGCTGTAAGGCCAGAGGCCGCTGCAGACATCCTGCCCATGACATGGCCGGAAGACTTGGCTGGAGATTCTATTACTATGCCACCTCTTCATGGAGGATGACAGCAAGAGTAAGCCGGACTTACTTGTGGCAGTCCTCAAGAGGGACAAGTATGAGCTAGGAATGTGGCTTAGTAGTAGAGTGCTTGCCTAGCACGCATGAAGCCCTGGATTCCATTCCTCAGTACTACATAAACAGAAAAGCTGGAAGTGGTGCTTTGGGCTCAAGTGGTAGAGTGCTAGCCTTGAGCAAAAGCAGCTCAGGGACAGTGCCTAGACCCTGAGTTCAAGCCCCAGGACTGGCCAAAAAAAAAAAAAAGACAGGAAAAACAGGCTGGTATTCATGAGGGGTTGTTCTAAAGGAGATGATCAGAAATGTATTAAAAAACAGGAAATGGACCCAAAAGCACTGAATAAGGTCATAGGATCATTTCCAAGACCGAATGAACCGATGTGAAACTGCTCCACAAGGAAGAATCTGCTTCACCCAAGAAACTGATCCAGGCACTGGTGGCCCATGTCTGAAATCTTAGCTACTCAGGAGGCTGAGATCTCAGTTCAAAGCCAGCCTGAACAGGAAAGTTTAGGACTCTATTCCAAGTAGCCACCAAAAAGCCAGAAGCAGAACTGTGGCTCAAGTGGCAGAGTGCTAGCCTTGAGCAAAAAAGTTTAGGGATAGCACCCAAGTCCCAAGTTCAAGCTCCAGGACCTGTGTGTATGAGTGCATGCATGCATGCATGCGTGCGCGTCTGTGCACCCACACACCCTGAAAATTTAGTAGAATCTGTGGGAAGGATATGTCTGAAGTCACTTTGAATGTCACTTTGATTCCCCAGTGCATATAATTTTAAAAGTTTAAGAACATTCTAAAAGTACTACCCAGGAAAACAATCCTAAAACAGTTCTGGCCAAAACAAGAATTCCAGTAAGTTGGACTATGAACAGAGGGAGGCTCACTGCCTAAAGACCCAGGATCCAACGGGTCTCATACACACACCAAGGGTGTTCAGTGAGGCTCAGCAAAGCCTGGCTTGGGATGTTTGTCATCTTTAGGTACTTAGAACTACTCCTGTATTAATTGTGCTTTTAGCTCTGTAAAGAGATAAGTTCCTTCTCAGCTACCAAATTAATGTCTGAAAGAAAAGTAACAAAAGGTGTGCTCTCACAGGATTGTGTCTGAATGCTGACTACAGAAGATAAGGCCCACACTGTCAAGGAACTCTGGAAAATTATTTTAACTTACATGAACAGGACCCTCAGAAAGCATACAGAGAACAGAAACTTTATGTCCTACAGATTCTAATGGCCTTTGACAGTAGAGCCATCCCCCCGCCAGTGATGAGCAGGGGTCCCACAGGACTGGGCAGCCTAACTCCTAGCAGGGAACAAGCTTCCAGGCTCCGGGCGGTTTGTCTCCTACTTGACAAGCACATCCACTTTATAGCCTTCATGGACAGAGGAGCCCAGCATTAGCACTAGTCAGACCATTCTGCTCAGCTACAGTACAACCTGACACCGTAATACAATCCAGTTTTCACTCTCCAACTACAGGTATAGGTGTTTTTTTCTTAAAGGTCCACTACATTTAAATGTTCTCATTCTAATAAGGAAAATTTGAAGTTGAGATCTCACATCCAAAAACGTGAAGGCTTGGTGCTGGTGGCTCACACTGTAATCCTAGCTACTTAGGAGGCCAAGCTCTGAGGATTGTGGTTCCAAGCCAGCCCAGGTCGGAGAGTTCTTGAGACTCTTAACTCCAACTAACCACCAAAAAAAGCTGGGGGGTGAGGAGAGGGAGGCTGTGGCTCAAGTGGTAGAGCACTACTAGCATTGAGCAAAGAAGTTCAGGGACAGCATCTGGGGCCCTGAGTTCAAGTCCCAAGACTTGCATAAAAACAAAATGGCTGGGCTCCAGTGGTGAATGCCTGTGATTGTAACTCAGGAGGTGGAGATCTGAAGATCATGGTTTAAAGCCACCTTGGGCAGGAATGTCTATAAGACTTTTATCTCCAAACCACCATCAAAAAAAAGCTGGAGGGGCTAGGAATGTGGCTTAGTGGTACAGTGCTTGCCTACCATGCATGAAACCCTGAATTCCATTCCTCAGTACCAAATACACAGAAAAGGCTGGGAGTGGTGCTATGCCTCAAGTTGTAGAGTGCTAGCCTAGAACAAAAAGAAGCTCAAGGACAGTGCCTAAGCCCTGAGGTTCAGGCCCCAAAGGAGTGGCCAAAAAAAAAAAAAAAAAAGTGGGTGTCGGTGGCTCACGCCTGTTATCCTAGCTACTCAGGTGGCTGAGATCTGAGGATCATAGTTCAAAGCCAGCCCAGGCAGGAAGTCTGTGAGACTTTTTTTTTTTTTTTTGGGTCAGGTTGTGGGGCCTGAACTCAGGGCCTGGGCGCTGTCCCTCTGCTCTTCAGCTCAAGGCTAGCGCTCTACCATTTGAGCCACAGCGCTACTTCCGGCTTTTTTCTTTTTGCTTATGTGGAGCTGAGGAATTGAACCCAGGGCCTCAGGCATGCAAGGCAAGCACTCTACCACTGAGCCACCTTCCCAGCCCCTCTGTGAGACTCTTATCTCCAATAAACAACTAGAAAATGGGAAGTGGCACTGTGGCTCAAGTGGTAGAGTGCGTGCCTTGAGCTGAAGAGCTGAGGGACAGTGCGGCAAGCCCAGAGTCAAGCCCCATGATCGATGCCCCTCCCCCAAAACCAACAACAACAAAAAACACAAACAGAAAAAAGCTGGAAATAGATAGAACTGATACTGAGCAGCTGATGTTTTATCACTTTCCTGTGCAGTCTCAATAGGGTTTTGGCTATTAGTTTTCATAATTTTCTTGGGTTGCACACAAAACTAAGATCCCCATCTGAATTCAGGTATTGAGAAAAGCACTCACTACCCCCCCACTGCAAAAAAAAAAAAATGTCTATGAAAGAGCAGGCAATCCAAACAACCCTCTCCAACACCCATTATCCCCTATCAGGCTGTATAAGGGAGATTGCTCCTGCTTTATTTAATGTGTAATTACATAATTTCCACGCACTACTTCAGTGCTTGGACTCTATTCCTATTCACTCCCCAAGTTTTCCTTCTCATAATTTCCCAGGGTTACATAAGGTGGATCTATTTCTAGATTCTGAAATTAGTGCATTTAATACTTGCACAACCCACTTAAAAGTTACAAGAGCTGTCTCTTTTCTATGTTTTGATTAAAACCACACAAGATAAGCACACATACACAAAAAGCAAACTAAACAAACCACACCACGTCGTATGGATAACGATCCAAACGTAAAAGTTATAACGTGCTGTAATGATATTCGTTTTGCAACATCAAAAGCAGCAGATACTGAATATAATTTGCTTAAATCATAAATACTGAGATTGAAATATGCATGTATAAATCATATTTAGGCTCCATGAACTGAAAGTTCTCTATAAACACAAAGCAGTATATATAAAGTGCAACACAAGCAAGGTCGGCGCGGCTCTGGTGTTTAGTACTCCCACTCGTCGGATTTCAGGTCGAGGTAGCTGAGGATGTTCTGGGCGAGCTTCACGGCCTGTTTCCGGGCAGCCTTACACTTCTCCTCCCCCTGCGGGTCCACGGCGTCCAGGGCCAGCAGCTGCTTGGTCAGCATCTCCTCCAGCCGGATGTAGTTCTTGTCAGTCCGATTTCCATCAAAGGAGAGGACTTCTCCCTGGATCTCCGACAGGTGCCCAAGGACGCTCCAGACGGCCTTGTGGGAGGGGTGCTCCTCACAGGTGAACAGCTTCCTCTTCTCCAGGGCCTCCTTCAGGTCCACGTAGGTGATCAGCGTCTGCACTTCAATCACCGCTCTTCTCCTGGCTTCCCGGATGCAGGGGTTTTTCTCGACACTCACCTCATCCAGCTGTCCAATCAAACCCTGCAGCTCTGTTTTGGAGCTCAGGTACAACTCTGAAGGATTTTGCGGTTGGAGAAGTTCATTTTTTATTTCTCTCATCCTCTTGAGGACCTTTTCTATTTTAAGAATGGACTGGTTCTGTCTCAGGTCAAACGCATGCGTGGTGTCGGCTTCTTCTTCTAAATCCAAATACTTCAATAATTTGTTGATATCTTCAACTACCTCCCTCCGGTAGTTTCTGATCTCTGTATGCCCGCACACATCTAAAGCATCCAGATCGGCAATCAGCCCCGAAAGCACACATGACAAGTGCTTGAAGGTCTCATTACTGTCCACTCCCGTCAGCAGTGCGATCAGAGTGCCCCTGGCCTTGTTCACCTCACACATCACAGAGTTGATCTTGGGAACAGAAGGATGGATATCCTCAGAGAGTGGCAGGGAAGGCTGCTTCCTCAGGCAGTCTTCGATAATCTCTTGTACTGCACAGATCTTGGTTAGCGTGTGATACCTTGCTTTCCGCAAGGAGATCTTCCCTCCGGTTTTCACGTGTGTCAGCCTCAGAATGATGTCCTGGATTCCTTCCTCGAACTCGTCGGTTATGCAGCTGCCCCCGCTGTAGAAAGGTACAATCTTTTCTTTCACCAGGGCCTGGGCTTCCTTGAAGATGTTCTGTATTTCCAGCCGGTGTGGGTGGTTTGCATTCTGCTCCAACTCCTTGAGAAGGCACTCTGTCTCCTGGGCAGCCCTCTTCCTAGCCTGCTGAATGTCTCCTTTTCCTTCTGTATCCACAGAGTCTATTTCAAAAAGCTGTTTTGTTAGAAACCGCTCGAGTTTCTTGTAGTTCTTGTCATCTGACAGACCGCTGAAGCCAATTACTTGCTGTTCTACACCTTTTACTTCTTTCTGAATTTCCTGAAGCCTACTAATAGCAGGATGTTGGTTTCCCATATCCATACTTTTGTTGTGTTCAGTTTCACAAGCACTAGAAAACGACATGAATGACGGATTACAGCAAGTCTCTGCAGAATGACAACTATTTAGTCTAAATTCTCATTTCTGATACTCTAAAGGAGGAACTCAATGGTGCAATGCCTCTAATCATATAAAATACTTCTCTTGCCAGGCGCTGGTGGCTCACTCCTGTAATCTTAGCTACTCAGGAGGCTGAGATGTGAGAATTGAGGTTTAAAGCCAGCCCGGGGAAGGAAAGTCCTTGAGACTCTGACCTCCAATTAACCCCAGAAAACCAGAAGTGGCACTGTGGCTCAAGTGGTAGAGTGCTAGCCTGAGCTGAAGAGCTGAGGGACCATGTCCAGGCCCAGAGTTCAAGACCCCACGACAACCAACCAAAACCAAAACTCTCATTTCCAAAACAATACACCTTAGCAGCGGTACTCACCAGACACTGCGCTGAAAATGAACTGTACAACCTGGGGGAGGGGGACAGGAGGGAAAAAGTGGCAAGAGCGAGAGAAGGGGTGACACTGTCCAAACAGAAGCGACTCATCACCTGACTTTATAACAACAAACAACTAAAGTTAAAAGAAAATCTTAAAAAAAAAACAAAAACAAAACCCTGCTTGCCATCATAGCAACGCAAAAGCTAGCCACACTCAAGCACCGGGCAGGGGCGGACAGCACGGCCGGGCCGGGCGGCGCTGAGGGTCTTCAGTCATAAAAGATGACAGACCGTCAACCTGGGAACGGCGCACGCGGAGATTCCAACACCGGGAGCGGCTCCTTGGGCTCAGAAAGGCCTTCATCGTTCACACCACCCCATTCCAGAAAGGTCTCCCGCCCCCGCCCCGCGCCCCGGCCTCCGTGGGGCCTGCTCCGAGCCTCCCAGGCCCCGGGGCCCCACCACGCGGCCGGGCCGCCCGCCCGCCGCCCGCCGCCCGCCGCCCGCCCGGCCGCTCCTCACCCAGGAGATCTGGGTGGCGGCGGTGTTGGCGGCCGCGGCGGGCCGTCGGCCCTTCACCGGGAGCGGCGCCGGAGCGGGGCCCCCCGCTGCATGCCTCGCCCTTCCCGGCTGGGTCTGGCCCGGGGCCGGTGAAGGGCCCGGCGGCGGCGGCAGCTATGGGCCGCGGCGGCCGCTCCGGCGTCTCGGCCGGACCCGACGCGGCCGCCTGACCTCACAATGGGCGAGCGCGAGGCGGGGCCGCGGCGGGCGGCCGCGGGGAGGAGGCCCGCGCCGGAGGCCGAGGCCCGCGCCCGCGCCGGAGGCCGGCTCCCCGCACACTTACCGGCGCCGCTCGCGCCATCGCGCCCCACCGCACCGACTTCCGCCGCGGAGCCGCCGCCAGCCTCGCCCCCGGCTGAACAGGCCCCAGCCCCGGGAAGGCCTCGGCGGGCGCCCGCGCCTCACCTCCCGCCAGGCCACCGCCACCGCCGCGGCCTCGACGCCCGCCGGCCGCTGCTCCTGGTGCGACTCCGTCGGGCTCCGCGACTGCCGTAAAGCAGCGCCTCCGCGTCACGACGCCGCCGTGCGCCGCCGCCGTGCGCTGCGGGCTGCGCCATGGCCGCCTTACGGCCCGGAGGCCGGGCCCTGCGCCCGCCGCTCTGCCGCGCCGTGGCGGACTGCGGCCGGCGGCTCGGCCCCGAGCGCGGTGCGGAGCGCGGGGATGCGGCGTCGAGCGGGGTAAGGCGGGCGCGGGGCGCGGGGCCCACGCGTACGTACCGTCTTTCCCGCCCGGGACGGTTGCTGCGTGCGCGTGCGCGTGCCGGTCCTGGGCTTGAACTCGGGGCCCGGGCGCCGTCCCCGAGCTGGCTCCACAGCGCCACTTCCGGCGTTCTGGTGGCTCATTGGCGTTTCCTGCCGGGCTGGCTTTGAGCCGGGCGGCTCGTCCCGGGGAGGGGGCTTGTCGGGGGCGGCTCGTCCCGGGGAGGGGGCTCGTCCCTCGGGCTGCAGCTCAGCCAAGGCGCGGGCAGACTCCTGTCCCGGTCCCGGCCGAGCTGCCGGACCTCACCACCAGCTCCCCGGGGCTCGGGCTGGAAGACCCCGGGGCAGCGGGCAGAAATGAGCCCTCCCGGAGCGCCTGGGCCCTGGCGGGGTCTGCGAGGGCTTGGTCCTCAGGGTGCGGCCCCTGCCCGGGGAAGTGCCGGTGACACCGCTCACCTGAAGAGCCCTTTAGGCTAGACACTGGACAGGCACACCGAGAACTGGTCTACCTCAGGGCAGCCTGTGTTTTGTTTCGTCTTGTTTTTGGATGGGGACACAGTCCTGGGGCTGGAACTCAGGGCCTGGGCGCTGTCCCTGATTCCTTTTGCTGAAAGCTAAGGTTCTGCCACTTTGAACCACAGCGCCACTCCCCAGTTTCTGCCTTGGCTAAGTAATTACATATTTGAAGGTACAGAGATGGTTGTTGTCTTTGGGACTGAGAATGGAAGTATCAAGTCTTAAAAATAAAGGTTGCAGATTTTCTTCTAATCTAAGCAGATTTTGTGTTTTAATCATTTCTAAATGTCTAGCTTGCTTTGCAGCGCTTTCACTCTTCATCTTTAGTTAAGGTCTCCTTTCAGTACTTATACAAACTGTATCTGAGCTTGGGGGGACCTCTGAGGTTTGAACCCAGGGCCTTGTGCATGCTGGGCAAACACTCTGTCACTGAGCTACACTCAAGTGTTTATTTTATTTTATTTTGTCCGTTGTGGGGCTTGAACTTTGGGCCAGGGCGCAGCCCCTCACCTCTTCAGCTCAAGGCTAGCACTCTACCACTTGAGCTATAGCGCCACTTCGTTTTCTGGTGGTTTATTGGAGATAAGAGTCTCTTGGACTTTCCTGCCCAGGCTGCCTTTGAACCTCCATCCTCAGATTGCAGCCTCCTGAATAGCTAGGATTACAGGGGAGAGCCGCTGTTACCCAGCTTCCTCTGCATTTTTGAGACAGTAGAATGGCATTTCAGAAGTCAGAGACTCCTTGACCGCTTTTCTAGTGCCAGACTGATTTTGTGCTACCAGTGGTCCCCACGCACTGCTGGATCTGGCTGGTAGTGGGTCCAGCACCCGTGTGGTAGGGGCCAAGGACCCTGAGCCTTTGTGTTCCACCTCAGAGCTCTAGAGCTGGAGGCATGGGAGAGCAAGGACAATGCTGCCCCGTGCTCTCTGCTGGCTCTGCTGAGAGTTTGCCTTGGCTGGAGGTCTCAGTGTCTGTACCCCACCCTGGCTTGGAGGACAGGAGATGGGGGGGCGGTTTGCAGGGCTGCTGCGTCTTGGTAGAGAGCTGGGCTGGGTGAAACCCAGTGAGGGCCACCCAACCTGGCCAATTCTAGGTAAGGAAAAAGGGTCTCAACGACTGGAAGCTCAGCTCTCCTCTCAGATCCAGTCACGAAACTCAGCCTGACAAGCAAGAGCGCACCTGCTCACCGGAAGACATGGGGTCCCTGGCTGGGCTCTGGAGGTGTTCAGTTTTGACACCGCCAAGCCTCAGAGGACAGGCATGTGTGGGGTAAATTACAGGGTCATGCCCCCGCAGCTGCTTTCCCCTCCTTCAGGCCTGCCTCTTCCTTCCTCACGGCAGCTTCTAGGCGAACCAAGGCAGGAGTGTCTGTGCACAGGGAAGCGGAGGAACTGGCCTGTCACAAGCGAAGACGAACTCTCTCAAATGATAGTGAAATATAGTGAATGACTAGACAACTTATTGCTCAGAGTTCATCCCTAATGCAGATTGCACATAAGTAAGACTCAGTGGGTCAAGATGATGCGTCCCCCCTGGCTTTCCCTGCCAGCCTTGCTCTGCGTGGGCAGCTAGAAGGCTGCGTGGCGGGGGCTCCCTTACCACTTCCCGCCTGGAAGAGGAAAAGCAGGCACAGCCCCAGCCACCCGGCCTGGGGGAGGAGGTCGGTGAGGTACACAGGGCGGCCCTGCTCAGGATGGACCCCCTCAGACTTTGGGGGAGAAGCCCAGATGCATTTGCAGAAACGGAAGCCTCCCTGCACCCCAGAGGAGTTCAGTCTGATGAGAGGACATCAGGGACGTGTGTGGGGCCCAGGGTGGCAGCGGCAGTATGTGGGCTGAGCAGCAGGGCACACCACAGGCTTTGCACTCTCCAGGAAGTGGCACTCGGCCCCCTCAGGAGATCTCAGGAGGCTGAGATCTGAGGATCATGGTTTGAAGCCAGCCCAGGCAGGAAAGTCTGCGGAATTCTCATGTCCAATTAACCAGCAAAAAGCTGGAAGTGGAGCTGTGGCTCAGTGATAGATTGCACTAGCCTTAAACATAAAAGCTTAGGGAGCCGGGCGACAGTGGCTCACGCCTGTAATCCTAGCTACTCAGGAGGCTGAGATCTGAGCATCACAGTTCAAGGCCAACCAGGGCAGGAAAGTCGTGAGCCCTAACTCCAATAAACCACTAGAAAATTGGAAGTGGCATTATGGTTCAAGTGGTAGAGAGCTGCCTTGGGCTGAATCGCTTAGGGACAGCACCCAGACCCAGAGTTGAAGCCCCAGGGTGGGCCAAAAACAAAAGAAAACATAGCCAGCACTGGTGGCTCACGCCTGTAATTCTAGCTGCTCAGGAGGCTGAGATCTGAGGATTGTGGTTTGAAGCCAGCCCAGACAGGAAAGTCTGTAGACTCTTTTTTTTTTTTTTTTTTTTTTTGGGGGTCATGGGGCTTGAACTCTGGGTCTGAGTGCTGTCCCTCAGCTCTTCAGCTCAAGGTGAGCCCTCTACCACTTGAGCTACAGTGCCACTTCTGGTTTTCTGGTGGTTTGTATTGGAGATAAGAGTTTCACGGGCTCTCCTGCCTGGGCTAGCTTTGACCATGATCCTCAGATCTCAGCCTCCTGAGTAGCTAGGATTACAGGCGTGAGCCACCAGGGCCCAAGTCTGTAGACTCTCATCTCCAATAAACTATCAGAAAACAGGAAGTGGAGCTGTGGCTCAAAGTGGAAGACTACTAGCCTTGAGTAAAAAAGCTCAGGGGGGATGGGAAGGTGGCTCAGTGGTAGAGTGCTTGCCTTGCATGCCTTGGGCCCTGGGTTCAATTCCTCAGCACCACATAAGCAAAAAGAAAAAAGCCGGAAGTGGCACTGTGGCTCAAGTGGTAGAGCGCTAGCCTTGAGCTGAAGAGCTGAGGGACAGCGCCCAGTCCCAGAGTTCAGGCCCCACAACCGGACCCCCCCCAAAAAAAAAAAAAAAAGTTCAGGGAAGGTGGCTCAGTGGTAGAGTGCTTGCCTTGCATGCACGAGGCCCTGGTTCTATTCCTCAGCACCATATAAGCCGTAAAAGCCAGAAGTGGCACTGTGGCTTAAGTGGTAGAGCACTAGACTTGAGCTGAAGAGCTGAGGGACAGTGCCCAGGCACACAATTCAAGCCCCACAACCGAGGTTGTGGGGATGGTACTCGAGCTCTGAGTTCAAGCCCCATGACCTATAGAAACAAAGCCTGACTTTATTGGCTTAATTAATTTTTGTATTTATTTTTGTCAGTTGTAGGACTTGAACTCTGGGCCTGGGTGCTGTCCCTCAGCTCTTCAACTCAAGCACTCTTATCACTTGAGCCACAGTATTACTTCTGGTTTTCTAGTGATTAATTGGAGAAAAGAGTCTCATGGACTTTTCTCCCAGGGCTGGCTTTGAACTGCAATCCTCACATCTCAGCCTCCTGAGCTAGGATTACAGGCGTGAGCCACCAGAGCCTGGACTTTATATTACTTTTAATGTATGCAGTGTAAAGGTACAGACTGAGTGAGATGGTAGTGATTACTCTTTTTTTTTTTTTGGTCAGTCGTGGGGTTTGAACTCTAGGCTTGAGTGCTATCCCTCAGCTCTTCAGCTCAAGGCTAGCACTCTACCACTTGAGCTACAGCGCCACTCCCGCTTTTCTGGTGATTTTTTTTTTTCTTTTTTTTTGGGGTCCGGTCATAGGGCCTGAACTCTGGGCCTGGGCGCTGTCCCTCAGCTCTTCAGCTCAAGGCTAGCACTCTACCACTTGAGCCATAGCACCACTTCCGGCTTTTTTCTTTTTGCTTATGTGGTGCTGGGGAATCGAATCCAGGGCCTCAGGCATGCAAGGCAAGCACTCTACCACTGAGCCACCTTCCCAGCCCCTTCTGGTGATTTTTATTGGAGATAAGAGTTTCATAGAGTTTCCTGCCCGGGCTGGCTTTGAACCGCTTGAACCGCGATCCTCAGATCTCAGCCTCCTGAGTAGCTAGGATTACAGACGTGAGCCACCGGCACCTGGCAGTGATTGCTCTTCTTCCTGTGCTGAATTCATTCCCAAACAATCCAAAATCCTCAGGCACTTTGTAGTCTTGCAGAGAGTAAGCTGAGGAGGGGCAGCAGTGGTGCGGATTGCTCATTGTGGTGTGGTTAACCCCACTGCGTTTTGTTGAAGGTCTGTTCCCCAGGATTTTGTCCTCCAAGAAAATCCTGCCATGATTGGATCGGACCCCCAGATAAGTATTCAAACCTTCGACCTGTCCATTTCTACGTCCCAGAAAATGAATCACCAGTGGAACAAAAGCTTAGAGAATTAAGACAAGAAACACAAGAATGGAACCAGCAGTTCTGGGCAAACCAGAATTTGACTTTTAGTAAGGTAGGTGAAGGTTTCAGATCAGAATAAGAAATAATGCGCTCGGCCGCTAGGGGGTGCTATATCTTTAGTATCTGCGCTGCCTTTCTGTTGGGTGCAGCCACTGTGTAGCCAGGCACAGGAAGAACTGGCCAGGCCTAAGTCATAGTCAGTACCTGAGGCTTTTGAGGCCAGGAAGTGCCGGTCTTGTGCATTCATGCTTGTGAAAATTAGAGTTGGTGGTGTTATTTCTGAAATAAGTAAGCCAAATAGGTAAGCTAAAATCCTTAGCAGCTTACTTACAGATAAACTATGTCAAACTCACAGAAGAAAAATATTAAAACTTCACTCACTTGGGTGGGACAAAAGTGTATTTATCAGATTCCATGGATCTGTAAGCAAAGGGCTTCCCGAAGTTTATTGACTGTCCATTTTCAAGCATGAGATGTTTAGCGGGTTCATGATTGAAATTGGGCTTTGAGCTGGGCTCTGGCTGGGTGAATCCACGCGAGACTCACCCAGAACCCGTGGGCTGTGCTGTAGCCGGGGAAGTGGGAAGGCGGAGAAGGGGCAGTTCTTGCCTTTGTTCCTAAGCTTTCGTTCCAGTAGTGATGATCATCTTCTTGTAGGAAAAAGAAGAATTCATTCGCTCCAGACTGAAAACTAAAGGTCCAGGCCTGAAAACGGATGCAGGTCAGTGCGTCTGTGCTGTTTTCTGCGCACACTGCGTGGGTAGGAGCAGTAGGAAGGAGGGAGAGCCAGTGGGCGCAGTGAGAGCTGGGCTCAGGCCCTCTTGGTCTCTCCAGCCAGCCTCCCGTCTCAGGTTTCCCTTTTTTCTCTTGCCTCTAGAGACTTCTTTTCCTTGTCCTATGTCTCACTGTTGTGGGTTTCTGGGGGGTCAGACCTTCAGTCTTTGATGAGATCATTCCCTGAGGATTTTAGGTTTTTGTGTTTCTTTCTTGCCAGTGCTGGGGATGAGCTGGGGGCTGGCATAGGTGAGGCAGGTGCTCTCCCGCTTCAGCCACATCCCCAGCCTGGGTCCTTCCAATCAGTGACTTTGGGCCTGAGGTTCCAGGGCGTTGGCATACACCCCAGTGCACCCAGCTCCCACCCCACACCCTTGCTCCTCTTCCCAGAGTCTAGCCAGTTAGGAGCAGGAAGCAGAGAGCTGTTTCTGGTCCTCCTCTCTGAAGGCTAACCTCTGCAGGGTTTCGCAGACTTTTGCCTCCCTGTCCTTTAACCATTGCTGAGCTTTCAGGTGCCTGTTAATTCTCCACTTTTTGCAGTAACTTCCTCATTTTTCTCTGGCTTTCAATCTTTAAATCAGGCCAGGACACTGTGCGTGTGCGTGTATGTGTGTGTGTGTGTGTGTGTGTGTGCGTGAGTGCACGCAGGGACGGGGCCAGTTCTAGGCTTTGAACTTGTCCTAGGCACTGTCCCTGAGGTGGTTTTTTTTGTTTTGTTTTGTTTTGTTTTTGGTGGGTGTGGGGCCTGAACTCTGGGCCTGGGCGCTGTCCCTCAGCTCTTCAGCTCAAGGCTAGCGCTCTACCACTTGAGCCACAGCGCCACTTCTGGCTTTTTTCTTTTTGCTTATGTGGTGCTGAGGAATCAAACCCAGGGCCTCAGGTATACAAGGCAAGTGCTCTACCACTGAGCCACCTTCCCAGCCCTCAGCACATATTTTCTATGAAACACAATCCAGTAGTTGACTCTTTGTGGGCCATTTGGATTTCTGTTGGAATTACGTAACTTGGCTGTTGGAGACCATGGCAGCCTGGACAGACAGCAGCAGACGCCAGACCATGGGGCTGAGGTTCGGGGCACCAGGGGCCTGAGCTCTTCCATCAGCTTCAGGTGTCTGGGTCCGTTTTAGAGGACATTTACAGGCACGTACACAGAGAGAAGTCACCAGCACCAATAATGCAAAACAATCTTTTCTTTTTTTTTTTTGCTGGTCCTGGTGCTTGGACTCAGGGCCCGGGCACTGTTCTTGAGCCTCTCTGTACTCAAGGCTAGTGCTCTACTACTTGAGCCACAGCTTCTGGCTTTTTCTGCTTATGTGGTGCTGAAGAATCGACTCCAGGGCTTCATGCATGTGAGGCAAGTACTTTACCACTGAACCACCTTCCAAGTCCCGAGATATAATCTTAATCCTTGAAGTCACAAACACCAATCATGTGGTAGGTATACTTTTACTTAAGTGACAGATGACCTTCTTTACCTTAAGAAGCAGGTGTAAGCATAGATTTTTGTCTATCCCCAAATTCCCAGAAAGTTTGGTGTGCAAATAGCCTATACTGGGATAGAAATCTGAATTCCCTTCAGGTCGGGACTGATTGACATTTTCAGGAAGCTCTCGGCATTCTGAGAGTTCCTGTTGGGAAGAGGCATTCCATCCTCCCAATCCTTTCAGGTCTCACAGCTCAGCTTTTGGAGGCTCTGACACACAAGCACATGAGCTTGGATGTATTCCAGCAAACTTACTTTTCAGAAACAGGTGATGGGCCAGATGTGGCCTGTAAATAAGATTTGTCAACCCCTGCTTCACATCCATTGCTTATACCCTTGCTGAACTGTTCTACCCAGAATGCACATTGTGTGGATTTGCAGCTCAGTGTGGACTGTTTGACGCTGGCGTCTGCCTGGCCCGGCCTGGCCACCAGCTGCCTCCTAGGTCAGCCGCTTGAGCAAGGGAACTCACACCGCCCGAGTTCCCTCTGTCTAGGATGTTTTATCAGTCTAGTGCTCCACCACCTTCCCAGCCCTGTTGAACAGTTCTTTACTGGCAAAATGTTACTCTGAGGGCAGTTGAGGACCATTGACCTCAAAAGGCAGGGCTGCATCTGGGCTCATGTGCCGTGTCCCTGGTAGTCTCCAGCTGGGTTCCTCTGGAAGGAGGGTGGGCAGCAGAGTGGTCTGGATGCCAGCCCCCTACTGCATGTGCTTTGTGACACCAGTGGGGTCTTGGAAAGCATTATTTCCTAATCCGAAGTGTAGGGATGGCAGTCCCAAGTGCTGGGTGCTATGCTAAGTCCTTTGCATGCACATTCATATCTGAGGGCCAAAGGAAAGAGCTGCTGTTGCCTTGCTGGTTTACAAGAGGAGTTTGAGGCTTGTGGGGAGCAATTCCCACCAAGATTGTGGTGGAAGAGGAAGAGGGCCTAGTTCTGCTCAAGGGAGTCGGATCTCAGCAGCTTTTAGCTATTGGCTTTGTTTACATGAGCAAGCGTGTCTGGCTCTGTGTGTTTGTGTGTGTGTATGTCTCTTGGCTGTCTGTGTTGAGTGTGAGTGGATGTGGCTGGCAGTTGTGTTTTGTGTTTGTGTGTGTGTCTCCCATTTGTTGAATGTGGAGGGGACTGCTGTCTGTGTTGAATGTGTGTGTGTGGGGTGTGTGTGTGTGTGTGTGTGTGTGTGTGTGTGTGTGTGTGTGTGTGTGTGTGTGTGTGTGTGTGTGTTCTGTCCGAGGGAGTGTTAGGCTGGCTTATTCTGTAGAGCATGTTGGAGACTAGCCACTCTCCTGACAGATGGAAGAGGTTGTTTTGAGTCTGTTAAAATGTCACAGAATCCTATTGATGGCTCTGCTAGGTGTTGGAAGTCTGGCTTCCAATCAGATTCTACAATTAATTTGGTCATAAAACAAGGCATGATGTGTGGAGGAGAGGGTACAGCTGAGGGTGGGCGGACACCCTGAGTGTTCGGGAAATCCCAGTTAGATTTTTTCTTTTTTGCCGGTCCTGGGGCTTGAACTCAGGGCCCTGGGTTCTGACCCTGAGCCTCTTTTGCTCTACCACTTGAGCCGTAGCACCACTTCCAACTTTTTCTGTGGTACTGAGGAATGAAACCCAGGGCTTCATGCATGCAAGGCAACCATGCTACCACTAGGCCACATTCTCAGCCCCCCAACTAGATTTGAGGCGTAGTGAGGGCCTGTGTTCTTAGAATGCTAAGAGTAGATGGAAGGTGCTCTCACTCAAGGCAGCAGTTGTGTGGGGTGGTGCAGGTTGCTGGCTGCACTCCCCCACAACATCATTTGTACATGGTGAGCACACACTTTTTTTTTTTCTTTTTGTCAGTCGTGGGGCCTGAACTCTGGGCCTGGGCGCTGTCCCTCAGCTCTTCAGCTCAAGGCTAGCGCTCTACCACTTGAGCCACAGCGCCACTTTGGGTTTTCTGAGTGGTTTATTGGAGACCAGGGCTGGCTTTGAACCGTGATCCTCAAATCTCAGCCTCCTGAGTAGCTAGGATTACAGGAGTGAGCCACCGGCTCCCAGCTAACACACACACAGTTTTCTGTCAGTGTAAACACAGACCAAAATGGGGATGGGGCCATTTCGTGAATGTGTTTCACACACACTGAGACTGGAGGGCTCATTGAGGAAAGAGAGCATTGTTTAATTGAGAATGGAAGTGGTGGGGTTGGAGGTTATGGCTCAGTTGGTAGAGCGCCAGCTAAGGAGCAAAAGTGTCTGGTACAGAGTTTGAATCCTGGTCTCAGACAAAAGAAAGAAAAGAGAATGGCAGCGAGCTGACTACCTTCTGGCGAAGACCCGAAGGAGAGGGTAAGGGTCAGGGCCCCACAGCCTCCTTTGAGGACGCACCTCCCATTTTCAGTGTAGAGCCCAGAGCTTCCTGAGCAGCTGGCATCCCTGTGATCTGGGTCCACTGCCAGAGCTCAGCACAGAGGCGGGGACAGGGCCTCGCCATGGACTCAGCCGATGCTAGAACCAGAGTGAATCCGGACTCTCGCTCTCCACTTCACCTCCCTCCTTCTCTTCCTCCCTCCCTTTCTTTTTCCTCTCTTCCTCTTTCTCTCTAGGTGGCGTGAGCACTATCCCTTGGCTTCTAACTTTTTGTAGTTAACTGGAGATGAGTCTCTAAGACGTTCCTGCCCAGGCTGGCTTTGAATGACAATCCTCAGATCTCAGCCTCCTGAATAGGATGACAGGCGTGAGCCACTGGTGCCCGGTTTCCCTTCTTTCTAAACTTCCTCCTGCTGTGGTCTTCTGTGGCTCCCAGCTCTCTCCTCCTGTGTTCCCGGATCCAGCCTGGGGCTGGCCTTTCCTCAGGCTGGCTTCCTGACTGGGCCGGGGCAGGCCGAGGTCTGTTGTGTTGGAGGAGCCTGGCTGCTGTCATGGCAACGCAGGGCAGAGGAGGGGGCTGGGAAGGGCTGGCCAGACACAGGGGCCAGTGTTCTGCCACGCACAGCAGAAGGGCGAGTGTTTGCGGCAAAGGTGGCATAGGCCATCTGGACTTGTAAGCAGTCTGCGGCAGATTTTCCCAATGACACAGACCAACAACGCGGTCCGAGATTGTTTAAACTCCTTGGCTGCGCCAGGCACCTCAAGCAGGCAGGTGGCGTTTATGCCCTCCGAATTCACTGGGAAGGTTTTCAGAGTTGAAACTGTGCTGTGGAGCTGCTTTGAGGACTGTGGCAGCGTGGAACTCCTAGCGCTTTTCTAGAAGGATCTAGCTGAGCACACCACACACCCATATACCGAGAAGCAAGAGAGTGCTTGCTGTGGACCATCTGTGAACTAACTCTGAGGAACCGCGGGTTCGGCCGGTTATTCTTCAGTCTTGCTTTGAATTGCAGGGGGGAGAGCACCTCAAGCTCCTGTGACTGCAGGCAGGCTCCCGGTCACAAGGTTCGCTGCGTGGCTGCGTGGAACACGGCTGCTTTCAGTGCCCGCCCTGACTGCAGCTCTGCTGGCCCCAACTTAAATGTCACCAGTAGGGCAGGCGCTGGGGGGTGGGGGAGGCATCTTCCTCCTGATTCTTTAATTGCTCAAGTGTGTGCATCCGGGAAAAGAGGGCGGCGTGGAGATGCATCCAGCTTGTCATCTGGTATTTGTGAGACACCCACGCAGTTTCAGTAATGGTGTCATGGATTCTGGGTTTTTTCCTCTCCCTCGCTCCCCTCCCCTCCTCCCTCTTCCCTCCTCCCTCTCCATCCTCCACGGGAGTGACAGTGACCTGGCTCCTGGGGCTGAGGCAGCTGAGCAGGAGTCCAGGAGGCTCAGTGCACAGGGGCAGAACCCCGGCCTGAGGCGTCTAGTTGAGGCACCCCACCCCTTCCCCCCCCTCCCCCGTGTCTGAGAACCTTCAGGCGGGGAGGTGTCAGAGGCCGCTGCCCACACTCATGGCCAGATGACCAGGCCTTGTGTGTCTCTGCTTAGCACCGGGGCTCCGAGCCTCCTCCTGGGGCCCTGCTGTGGTGGTGTCGCGCCCGGAAGGGAACGGGATTGTGGGGAGATTGGTTCCAAGCCCACCCTGCTCCTCCAGTGGCGGCAGCTGGGGGCAGTTTTTCCTGCTTCAGCTCTTCCAGTGGCCAGGAAAGGCCTGGAGGTGCCACGGGGGGCTGGCTGGGGGCCACCCCTCCTCCCCCAAGGCTAGCCAGGACCCCGACCGCCACTGCGGCCCAGAGCCGCTGCTGCCCTGGGCCCTCCACTCGCCCCTTGCTGCCCGTCGCCGCTTCTGTGTCCTCTTACTTGTGCCTCCACCTGTCCCCTCCCCCCACGTCTGTCATCAAGGGATGGCTGATGTCCCTTGTTACCCTCCCCTCACTGAGCCTGAGGCAGAGCCCTGCCCATCTTGGGGCCCGGCATGCCAGCAGGGGTTGACCACACCCTAGATGCCAGGGTTACACCCTGGGAGGAGCCAGCACAGAAGTGGGGTTCCTGGCCTCTGGCCCTCAGGGAGAGCCTCAGAAGAACCTTCTAGATGCTATTGTGGTATTTGACTAGAGCTGTGGGTCACGATCGCCTGACACTGCTGTGTGTGAGTTGGGAGTGAGCGTGGGCACACGCTTCCTCTGCCTGTCTGCATTGTCTCCTTGAGTACTCTGAGGACAGACGGCCAGCCCTCAGCTGCCAGCAGGAAGCAGAGCTGCCAGGCACCAGTGGCTGCGCCTAGCTACAGGGAGGCTAAGAAGAGAGAGCGAGCCACGGTTCAGGCCAGTCCTAGAGGCCTCTTCTCAGCTGCCACCCAGCAGCTTGCTCCTGCCATTCTGAACCACAAGCCAGGCTGAGAGTGGCGGCTCCTCGTTCCCGGCTGCCTCACGGACAGAAACGTCCATGAGACTCCATCTCAACAGAAGGAAGCCGTGCATGCGGCGCTTCTGTTGCCCCCGGAATGGCGGTGGCCAGCCAGGCATGGTACAGGTGCACACCCAGGTAGGAGGCAAGGCCCTACCTGCAAATGAACCAGCGAAAACCTGGGCTGTAGGCATGGCAGAGTGGCAGAGCACCTAGCAAGCTCCAGTGCCCCTCCCCACACTGAAAGAAAAGATTGAGCTGAGGCTGAGCCCAGTGCAGCTGAGCGGCTGACTTGCCGTCTGCACAGGTCCTGTTGAGTTCTCCCAGCCCCGGCCTGGCTTGTGCTGGAGCCTTGGGGCTGCTTGGGTCTGTGCTTGTGGTGCAAGTAAAAGTTGGGCCAAACACCTTCCCTCTTCTTTTTTGTGTCAGTGGTGGGACTTGAACTTAGGGTGCTGTTCTTGAGCGTTCTGGCTCAAGGCTAGTGCTCTACCACTTGAGCCTCAGCCCTACTTCCGATTTTCTGAGTGGTTTATTGGAGATAAACAGCCTTTCCTGCCCTACCTGGCTTTGAACTGCGATCCTCAGATCTCAGCCTCCTGACTAGCTCAGATTATAGGTGTGAACCACCAGCGCCCAGCCCACTGTTAATTCTATTTGAAAAGTTTGCACACTGGGATACTAGACTCATTAGACAGACATCCTGTAGCTGTTTTCTCTTGTTCTGTAAGTTGTCTGTACAGTTCATTGGTAAAGTCCAAGCCCTATCATGCACAGTTTTCTTTTTTTTTTTTTTTTGTCGGTCATGGGACTTGAACTCTGGGCCTGGGCGCTGACCCCTCAGCTCAAGGCGAGCAGTCTACTGCTTGAGCCATAGCGCCACTTCCAGTTTTCTAGTGGTTTATTGGAGATTAGAGTCTCACGGACTTTCCTGCCTGGGCTGGCTTTGAATCGGGTTCCTCAGATCTCAGCCTGCTGAGTAGCTAGGATGACAGGCGTGAGCCACCAGCGCCCAGCCACAGTTTTCTTATTTTGATGCAAGTCTGTTTTCTGTATTTTTTCTGTGCTTTATGTATCATATCGAAGAAAATGTGATAAAGTAAACATCTGCTTTCTTGAAGAGGTTTAGGGTTTTTGGGGTTTTTTGTTTTGTTTTTTCTGGTCATGGGGCTTGAAATTCAGAGCCTGGGCTCTGTCCCTGAGTCTCTCTGTGCTCAAGGTTAGCACTCTGCTACTTGAGCCACAGCACCATTTCCAGATTTTTCTGAGTAATTTATTGGAGATAAGAGTCTTAATGACTTTTCTATCTGGGCTGGCTTTGAATCAAGATCCTAAGATCTCAGCCTCCTGAATAGCTAGGATTACGGGTGTGAGCCACTTCCAGCTTTTTTTTATTTATTTATTTTTTTTTGGTACAGTCGTGGGGCCTGGGCGCTGTCCCTCAGCTCTTCAGCTCAAGGGTAGCATTCTACCATGAGCCACAGCGCCACTTCCGGCTTTTTTTTTTTTTTCTTATGTGGTGCTGAGGAATTGAACCCAGGGCCTGGAGCATGCAAGGCAAGCGCTCTACCACTGAGCCACCTTCCCAGCCCCGCCACTTCCAGCTTTTTCGGAGTGGTTTTATTAGAGATGAGTCTCAGGACTTTTATGCATGGACAGTGCTTTGAACTATGATTCTCAGATCTCACCCTCCTGAGTGGCTAGGATTGCAGGCAGGTATATTTCAAATTTACTTTGATAGTGCTAGATAAAGTTCCTCCTTAGCCTTTTGCATGTGAATCCTCAGTCGTCTTGGATAGTCTTGGTGCTGCCCTTGTCTGTCCTTGAAAATTACTTGACCGTGAGGGGTGGGCTTTAGCAGTTTCTTCCGTTGATTGATGCGTGTTCTGGAGCAATATTGTGCTATACTACAGAGTCTTGTGGGAAATTTTGAGGTTGAGAAATGGGAACTTTCTTTTTGATTGCTTTAGATATTGGATTGTTTACATTTCCACATGAATTTTAGGAAATAATTGTTAATTTCCCAAAAAAATTGCAGCTGAGGAGCTAGGAAAGTTGCTTGTGGTAGAGTGCTTGGCCTTGCATGCCATGAGGCCCTGGGTTCGATTCCTCAGCACCACATAAACAGAAAAAACCTCAAGTGGCGCTGTGGCTCATGTGGGTAGAGTTCTAGCCTTGAGCTGAAGAGCTGAGGGACAGCGCCCAGGCCCAGATTCAGGTCTCACTACTGACAAAATAAATAAATAAATAAATAAAATTGCAGCTGAACAAGAAGCCTTGGAATTTTGGTAGGGCTGAATTTATGGATGAGTCAGTAGTGCTGCCTTGTGTGTGTTGGGGGGGTGCGCGCGCGTGCGTGCATGCGTGTGTGTGTGTGTGTACGTATGCGTGCACTGGTACTGGGGCTTGAATTCAGGGCCTGGGTGCTGTTCCTTAGCTTTTTTGCTCAAGGCTGGTGTTCTACCACTTGAGCCACAGCTCAAATTCTGCCTTTTTGCTAGTTAATTGGAAATAATAGTCTCACAGACTCCTGCCTGGGCTGGCTTTGAACCTTGATCCTCAGATCTCAGCCTCCTGAATAGCTAGGATTACAGACATGAACCACCAGTGTCCACTTCTAAATCTGTTATTTTTGATGTATGGTAAAATGAGTTGTTTTCTAGATTGATTGATTTTAACATATAGAAATTGGTAATTGTGCTGGGTGCTCCTGGTTCATGCCTATAATCCTAGCTCCTCAGGAGTCTGAGATCTGAGGATTGTGGTTCAAAGCCAGTCTTGGCAGGACAGTCCTTGAGACTCTTATCTCCAATAAACTAAAAAAAAAAAAGCTGAGGGCTGGGAATGTGGCTTAGTGGTAGAGTGCTTGCCTTGCATGCATGAAGCCCTGGGTTCAATTCCTCAGTACCACATACACAGAAAAGGCCAGAAGTGGTGCTGTGGCTCAAGTGGTAGAGCACTAGCCTTGAGCTGAAGAGCTGAGGGACAGTGCCCAGGCCCAGAGTTCAAGCCCCACAACTGGACCCCCCCCCCAAAAAAAAACAAAAACAAAAAAAGTGGTAATTGTGTGTGTGTGATTTATACTGTCAGCTTCTTCTAGTAGGTTTTTTGTTTTTTGTTTTTTAATCCTTTCTCCTTAAGTATTAGTGTTTAAGTTGTAATTTACTTTCAGGTCAAAAAGCAGCATTGACTGCAGACGAAATGGCTGATTTTTACAAGGAATTTTTGAGGAAAAATTTTCGGAAGCACATGTATTATAACAGGTAACTGTTTATGCTTGCTTTCTTTGCTATGGGTTCAGGTGTCACATCTAGATGAAGAAAGCTTGCTTTCCTTCCTGAATGGAAAGGCGTGGTTCCCATCGGAGGTGGAAGCCATGGTTTTGTCAGCATTCCTTTTGCCTTGTTAAGTAAGACTGACAGCCCCAGGGCATTTGCATAGTACCCCATTCCTCTTGTTCTGCCTGGAGGGCTACATCTAGGCTCCCTGTCCCTCCTTGGAGAAGCCTCAGTCGCTCTGGGGCAGGAGCTGGACCTGGGAACTGTGGTGGAGGGAGGGACGGGCTGGAGGCTCAGCCCAGGGCCTAGCCAGTCAGCCTTTCAGAGAAGGGACAGCAGGGAATTAAAAAAGCTACTGGGGGCTGAGATCTGAAGATCTTGGTTCAAACGGATCTAGAAGACTTTTTTTTTGCCGGTCGTGGGGCTTGAACTCTGGGCCTGGGCGCTGTCCCTCAGCTCTTCAGCTCAAGGCGAGCGCTCTACCACTTGAGCTACAGCGCCACTTCCGGTTTTCTGGTGGTTTATTGGAGATAGGAGTCTCACTGGTCTCTCCTGCCCGGGCTGGCTTTGAACCACGATCCTCAGATCTCAGCCTCCTGAGTAGCTAGGATTGGGCGTGAGCCACCAGCGCCCGGCCATGAGACTCTTATCTCCAATAAACTACCAGAAAACTGGAAATGGTGCTCTGGCTTAAGTGGTAGAGTGCTAGCCTTGAGATGAAGAGCTGAGGGACAGCACCCAGGCCCAGAGTTTAAGCCCCATGTCGGACAAAAAAAAAGTCCATGAAACTCTCATCTCCAATAAACTACTCAGAAAAAGCCAGAAGAGGCGCTGAAGCTTAAATGGTACAGTTCTAGCCTTGAGCACAAAGAAGCTCAGGGACGGGGACTAGGCCCTGACTTCAAGCCCCAGGACCGAGAAAAAAAAAAAAGTTTATGTGTAGCTATGGCAAGTCCACCGAATCATTATTCTGAAAATTGCTAAGTTGAAGGAAAGAATCATGGGGTTTACCCAGGCGGCCTCCCTGCCTTTCCTGCTGCAGAGGTGCTTCAGGGAAACACGTGAAGAACCCTTCCCTCTGTAGAAACAGCAGTGCAGAGAGTCGATGGGTCAGCCAGAGGCGGCATTCCTAGTGCCCAATCCATCCGGGCCACCGCCACCCTGCCGGAAAAGCCTACATCGATGGGATGTTATGGGTCCAGTCAGTGGACAGCCTGGGGCTGAATGCACACGCCCTGGGGACAGGGCCTGCGGGCGGAGGCACAGACCACACCCTGTGAGCTGTTCTCATATGAAGACAAGTGCTATATCAAATCTAAGTGCGGGTTTATTTGCAGAAGGTTTAGGGGCACGGGAGGGGCACAGAGCCTGCTTTGAAGTGACAGCCTGAGGATGCCGTTGGAGAAACCCAGTGTGTGGGAAATTACACATCATCCAGCTCTTCCACAGCAGTTAGAAAAAGAATAGCAGTAAAGTGTGGGGTGCTGTGGAGACTGAGTTTAGTACCTTGTCCAGACCTTTTTGGGTCCTGAGACAAACTGCCATTGATGGGGTATTTGGACAGATGATTGGAGGATGATGGTGTCCCAGGAGGAGGTGCAGTGATGGTGATGCTATGGTGACAGTGTCTCAGGAGGAGGTCCAGTGGTGGTGGTGCTGTGGTGACAGTGTCCCAGGAAGAGATGCAGTGGTGGTGTTGCCATGGTGCCAGTGTCCCAGGAGGAGATGTAGTAGTGATGTTGCCGTGGTGACAGTGTCTCAGGAGGAGATGCAGTGGTGTTGTTGCCATGGTGACAGTGCCCCAGGAGGAGATGCAGTAGTGGTGTTGCCATGGTGACTGTGTCTCAGGAAGAGATGCAGTAGTGGTGTTGCCATGGTGACAATGTCCCAGGAGGAGATGCAGTGGTGGTGTTGCCATGGTGACAGTGTCCCAGGAGGAGACACAATGGCAATGTTGCCATGGTGACAGTGTCCCAGGAGGAGATGAGGTGGCGGTGTTGCCATGGTGATGGTATCCCAAGAAGAGATGCAGTAGTGGTGTTGCCATGGTGATGGTGTCTCAGGAGGAGATGCGGTGGTGGTGTTGCCATGGTGACGGTGTTCCAGGAGGAGACACAATGGCAGTGTGGCCATGGTGACGGTGTCCCAGGAGGAGATGCAGTGGTGGTGTTGCCATGGTGACGGTGTCCCAGGAGGAGATGCAGTAGTGGTGTTGCCATGGTGATGGTGTTTCAGGAGGCGATGCAGTGGCAGTGTTGCCATGGTGACTATCCCAGGAGGAGATGCAGTGGCGGTGTTGCCATGGTGACTGTGTCCCAGGAGGAGCCACAGTGGTGGTGTTGTCATGGTGACAGTGTCCCAGGAGGAGGCACAATGGCAGTGTTGCCATGGTGATGGTGTCCCAGGAGGAGATGCGGTGGTGGTGTTGCCATGGTGACAGTGTCCCAGGAGGAGATGTGGTGGCGGTGTTGCCATGGTGACAGTGTCCCAAGAAGAGATGCAGTAGTGGTGTTGCCGTGGTGTCTCAGGAGGAGCTGCAGTGGTGGTGTTGCCATGGTGACGGTGTCCCAGGAGGAGCCGCAGTGGTGGTGTTGCCATGGTGACTGTGTCCCAGGAGGTGATGCAGTGGTGGTGTTGCCATGGTGACGGTGTCCCAGGAGGAGCCGCAGTGGCGGTGTTGCAGTGGTAGCATGCGGCTGCTCACTGGCGCAGCAAGACGACCTGAGTGAGGCAGGGCCGTCCGGTGCCGAGGTGGGACTGCCTGGTTCCCTCAGAGCTGGTGGTCCTGCTCACCCCTCCTCTGCTGTGTCTTTCTGGGAAAGGGAACGTTTAACGGAGAGCACTGATACCTGCTGAGCCAGCCTGGAAGGGGAGGGAGGGAGGGCGGGTAGGTGGGTGGACAGCCTGGGGGGGCGGCAGCCCGAGTGAGGTCAGCCCAGGCTCCAGCCCGCGTCTCCCCTTTGTCTGCAGAGACTGGTACAGGCGCAACTTCACCATCACCTACTTCATGGGGAAGGTGGCCTTGGAGAGGCTTTGGAACAAGCTGGCACAGAAGCAAGCGAAGAGGAGCGGCTAGCACTCCCCTCCGGCCTGCAGCCTCCCGCTGGCCAGGCCACGTGGAGGGGCCTGGGAAATGCTGCAGTGACCACAGCCCCATGATTTTGTCTGTGGCTCCGTGTGTCGTATTGTCAGGAATGTTGTCAATAAAGCTCTGAGCGCTGTGCCTGCTTCTGTGTCTTGAATCACACCAGCTCAAAATGTAGTAATGCAAACATGCTAACGAAGTTTCACTTTCAAAATTAGGCCCCTGGGCCCAGTATCCTCTCTATTTAAGACTATCGTCTAAAGATCACGGTTCAAAGCCAGCCCGGGCAGGAAAGTCTGTGAGACTGTTATTTGCAATTAGCCAGCAGAAAAGCTGAAAGTGGTGCTGTGGCTCAGGTGGGAGAGTGAGCGCCAGCCCTGAGCACAAAAGCTCAGGGGCAGCATCCAGGCCCCATGAAAGACAAAAATGAAAGTGAAAACCTTTAAAAAGTTAGACCACTGGGCACTGGCAGCTCTCCTACAGTTCTAGCTACTCAGGAGGCTGAGACATGAGGAATAGTAGTTCTAAGCCAGCCTGAACAGAATAGTTTGCAACAGTCTATCTCCAACCTGGGCCCTGGTGCCTCACGCCTGTAATCCTAGCTATTCAGGAGGCTGAGATCTGAGGATCACAGTTTGAAGCCAGCCCCAGTAAGAAAGTCCACGAGACTCTTATCTCCAATTAACCACCAGAAAACCAGAAGTAGACCTATGGATCAAAATGATAGAGTGATATCCTTGAGCAAAAAAGCTCAGGGACAGCACCTGGAACCTGTATTCAAGCCCCAGTACTGGTGTGTATGGGTGTGCGGGCATATGTGTGCGTGCGCACACGCACACAGACCCCCGTGAAGGGAGTAATTCAGGTGGCTGCTGAATGAAGTGACAGAACGAGGCAGCAGAGATGGGGGGCGCAGGCTCCAGCCCTGATGGCGGCACGGTCCCGGAACGGGGATGGTACAGCCCCTGTCCGATGCTGTGATGGCTGGCCAGGCTGCACACAGGCTTCCCGCAAAGTTCTAGGGGTGTGGTCACGCTGCCGCGCCCCACGGGCCATGAGGCAGAGCAGGCGCTGTGTTGAGGATGCCTTGAGGTCCCTCAGGAAGATGCAGCTCCGGCCTCCAGTGCCACACAGACTGGCTCCGAAGTAAGCACAGAAGGAGCAGGAGTCTTTGTGTCTGGGACTTCACCCTGTAGCTCTCCCGTGATTGTCCCCTAACCGCGCCCGGTGGTCATGAGGGCTCAGGGCCACAGAAGAGCTTGGCGACTGAAAGACTCGTAATCTGTGTGGTGGCCTTTCTTTTCTGCCCGAGGATGGCGCGCTATCACTTGGGCCATACCTCCACTAGTTTTAGTTGGTTGATTGGAGATAAGAATCTCATATGCTTCTCTCCTTGGGCAGGCTTTGAACCAAGTCTTCTGTGTTGATGGGATCACAGGCATGAGCCACCAGTGTCCAACTTTCTGTAGACTTTTACATCTATAGAATAAAGCCTATCAATGCTGTATTTAATTTTATTTTTTTGCCAGTCCTGGGGCTTGCACTCAGGGCCTGGTCACTATCTCTGAGCTTCTTTTGCACTCTACCACTTGAGCCACAGCACCACTTCTGGCTTTTTCTGTGTATGTGGTACTGAGGAATCAAACCTAGGGCTAAGTGCATGCTAGGCAAGCACTCTACCACTAAGCCACATTCTGAGCCCAGTATTTAATTTTAATTTTCATATACCATGCTTGCTTGATAAAATTCTCAATTTTTTTATTTTTTATTTTTTTGGGTCTGGTCATGGGGCCTGAACTCTGGGCCTGGGTGCTGTCCCTCAGCTCTTCAGCTCAAGGCTAATGCTCTACCACTTGAGCCACAGCACCACTTCTGCTTTTCTGGTGGTTTGTTGGATAAATTGTTTCACAGCCTTTCCTGCTTGGGCTGGCTTTGAACCATGATCCTCAGATCTCAGCCTTCTGAGTAGCTATGTTGACAGGCGTGAGCCACTGGTCGCTGGCTTCTATTTTTAATATTTAGACTGCATGACTATATTAAGAAGTCTTAAGAATAGTTTAAAAAAACAGAAGGGTGAAATATGTTGAGATTATTTTAAGGAGAGGAGAGCAAGGGAGAAATAGAAACTGTGAATCTGATCAAGACACATTGTATGGATGGATGGAAATGTCACCACCCCTTGTACTACTGATGTATTCTGGTTTAAAAAAAAAAAGATGGTTGATAAAGACCAACTTGGACTCCTCTCGTGCCCCTGTGCTGCGTGGTATTTGAGGACACTGGCTGCTGCTTATTCTCACAGGCCTGGCCTGGCAGGATGGCAGTGCGGCCCCAGGTCTGGTGTCTGGCACTTCCCAGGCTCTGGAGTTACCAATAGTCTCATCTTCCAGGAGCACCTGGCAGACATCTGGGGGCAGTGGAGGTCTCTGCCATGCCCCCCCACCGGCTTACCCCTCACAGGACACTCCCCCTCACATGACTCGAGCTGGCATCTGCTCATCCAGTCCTGAGTTTTAATCCTTTGTCTCTCTCTGGAGGGCGAGGCTGTGGAGAGGTGACTGGCTCCGGGTCTCGGTGCTCTAGCACACAGCACGGCTTCCACACCAGAGGAGCTCAGGGGGCCCCAGAGGGTCCTGCTCAGCTGCTCCTGGGGGGGGGGGGGGCTCTGAAAATCTGCAGCAGATATCTTAGACTTCCTGGTAATGGGGAAATCGTCACATGGGAAGTAGTGTGACCGAGTTTTATGTTTACTGTGTTTTTGTTGTTGTTGTTGTCACCAGTATTGCTTTTTTCTGCTTGTTACAATCAGAAGTTTAAAAATACCCATATTCTGCTGACATTCTCTGAGTTAAAATTTAATGTGAACTGCAAAGGAACAGCCTCCAATTTTAGAGAACCAGAAGGCTCTGAAAGCCCCAAGAACAGCCAGTGGGGCTTGGGTCTGGGTGAGGGTGCTGTTTCCAGTGGGGCTTGGGTCTGGGTGAGGGTACTTTTTTCCCCTCCGTGGGATTGCTTTCATCTTTTTTCAAAAATTAGTTTACTGTTTTTATAAAGATGATGTACAGAGGAATTACAATTATATGAGTCAAGTAATGAGTACATTTTCTTTCCTACAGTGTCTTCTGTTCCCTCACTCTCTCCCAGGTCCTCCCTTCCGTCTCTACCCATGAGTTGCATAGTTCACTCACATCAGTGTCCAGTGAGCTCCACTGCTGCATTTTTTTTTTTTTTTTTGCCAATCCTTGGGTTTGATCTCAGGGCCTGGACACTGTCCCTGAGCACTCTACCACTTGAGCCACAGCACCACTTCTGGCTTTTTCTGTATATGTGGTACTGAGGAATCGAACCCAGGACTTCCTGCATGCTAGGCAAGCACTCTACCACTGAGCCGCACTGCCAGCCCAACTGCTGCACTTTTTTATCCTTTTTCCCTTGAGTTGCTTCCATCTTTTCAAGTTCTCTTTCACTATTTTTGTGTTTGTTCTGTTTAGTTTTTTTTTGTTGTTGTTGTTTTGTTTGTCGGTCATGGGGCTTGAACTCTGGGCCTGGGCACTGTCCCTCAGCTCTTGAGCTCAAGACGAGCACTCTACCACTTGAGCCACAGCGCCACTTTGGGCTTTTTCTGTTTATGTGGTGCTGAGGAATTGAACCCAGGGCCTCAAGCATGCAAGACAAGCGCTCTACCTCTGAGCCACCATTGAACCCAGGGTCCTCATGCATGCAAGGCAAGCACTCTACCTCTGAGCCCCCTTCCCAGCCTTATTGTTCTTTTTTTGTGCTAAGCAATCAGCTTGTAACTTATGCCTTCTGAATTTGGGGCTGAAGGACCTTGATTTTTCCCCCCAAATTCTTCATGTAGGCATCTGTGTGCGGTAAGGACAGCTTTGTTCTTGAGAGAATTCCTGGCCGCTCATCCTACTGCCTTACCCACTACTCCTGCTCCCTTACCCGCCACCCTGGCTTTCTGTAGGCATTTGCAGGAAGTAGAATGTGAGAATGGTCAGAAATCTGACTGCTGGGCTGGGAAGATGGCGGCTCAGTGGTAGAGCGCTTGCCTTTCATGCAGGAGGCCCTGAGTTTGATTCCTCAGCACCACATAAGCAGAAAAAGCCAGAAGTGGCACTGTGTCTCAAGTGGTAGAGCGCTCCCCTTGGGCTGAAGAGCTGAGGGACAGCGCCCAGGCCCAGAGTTCATACCCCACTACTGGCAAGAAAAAAAAAATCTGACTGCTGTCATTCATCCAGCAAACACCCAGTGCCCACTCTGTGCTGGGCACGAGGACTCTGTGCCAGCCATGTAGGTAATGGCTGTCCCTGGATGCACTCCCAGACCAGCAGGATTAGGGAAAAAAATAGTAACAATAGAGAACCTACTAGAATTGCTTATATAATCAACTGATGTAATGGTTATGGTTTTTTTTTTTTTTTTTTTGGGTCCGGTCATGGGGTCTGAACTCTGGGCCTGGGCGCTGTCCCTCAACTCTTCAGCTTAAGGCTAGCGCTCTACCACTTGAGCCACAGCGCCACTTCCGGCTTGTTTTTTCTTTTTGCTTACATAATGGTGCTGAGGAATCAAACCCAGAGCCTCAGGCATGCAAGGCAAGCGCTCTACCACTGAGCCACCTTCCCACCCTAGTTATGTTCTTTTTTTTTTTTTTTTTTGGTCGTCCGTGGGGCTTGAACTCTGGGCCTGGGCGCTGTCCCTGTGCTCTTCAGCTCAAGGCGAGCGCTCTACCACTTGAGCTACAGCGCCACTTCTGGTTTTCTGGTGGTTTATTGGAGATAGGAGTCTCACAATCTCTCCTGCCCGGGCTGGCTTTGAACCGTGATCCTCAGATCTCAGCCTCCTGAGTAGCTAGGATTACAGGCGTGAGCCACCAGCGCCCGGCTCCCAGTTATGTTCTTAATCATAGATTAAACTTTTTTATTTCTTTTGTTGGTGGTGGGGCTTGGACTCAGGGCTTGGGCACTGTGACCTCTTTGTGCTCAAAGCTATCTAGCACTCTACCACTTGAGCCACACAGTCACTTTTTTTTTTTTTTGTCAGTTGTGGGGCTTGAACTCAGGGCCTGGGTGCTGCCCCTCAGCTCTTCAGCTCCAGGCAAGCACGCTACCACTTGAGTCAAAGCGCTGCTTC